AACGGTATGGAGAATATGCATACTGATGTTAGTGTGTAAAGGGTTCACAGCCAACTCTCGCTCCAGTGCACTCCTTCGGATGTCGTCCGTATTAGCGAGATTCCCCACAAGCTGGTTGCAGCGGATGAAAAGTTCAACTTTTAAATCGAAGTCGCTTCCCATTAAAACTACTTTATGGACTCTTCTTAATTCCTAGGGTCGACCAAAATTAGATGTGTCAAACTTGAGTGAATCATCGATCTTTTCATTTGCGTAAAGTATGGAATTAGGCTTTGCACATCCGAGTGTAAAGTTCGATAAATCAACTGGGCCTCAATAATTTTTTTCACTTCCAATTTTTAGATTTATTACTGGGGTGAAAGTCTCGCAGTCAGCTCAAGGAGAAAAAGACGAGCCATTCCTAGTACTGCCGAAAAATTCGAGGTCATAGGGGGGAGTAAAACAGAGGCTACAATTTCTGGACTGAAACCATACACAGCTTACAGTGCTGCCGTGAAAGCCTTCAACTCCGGCGGCGAAGGACCAGCGAGTCCCATAATTTCCTTTGAAACTTCAGAGGGTGGTAAGAGAACGTGGAATGTCTCGAAGCATTTGTCGGTTCAGTGTTGAACGTGATCCTCCATTGCTTTGGTTTTGCTTATAATGCGCCTCGTGAATGATACCATCGTCCTCTTTTACGACTATCGCCTCGCAAGAGTTCATATAATACTTAAAACAAAATTTTTTTAAAATTGTCGCAGCGATATCTTCTCGTGTCTATGGAGGAGCAGGTGATTTCTCAATCCCTCCAATTATCACCGAAATAATTATTTAGGAGTGCATTCTTCGTCGCAAGCTCGTGAATATGGGCGAAGAAGTGCTGTAGTTAAAGCGAGCCCCGCGCGAGCCCCCGTGGGCAGGGTAAGGCAAATCCTATGTCTTTTTTTTTTTTTTTTAGTAACTTGAGTGGGATTTTGTGCATTGAATTGCCTTTTTGCCGTTCTCCGCGTGAGAAAAATTATTTGATGAAATCTTTTATCTACCAATCTTGCTCAATAAAGATGGCTCGATATCTGCCTCGTGCTCTTCTGAAAAAGGAGAATTTGGGCCATATACGGCCAAGGTGAATTCAGTTTGTCTTATACTCATTTTATGTACACCTTTGTGATTCTAATTACTTTTGTCCTCGTCAGAACCTGGTCCGCCTTCAGACGTATTCATTGATGCTTTCGGCGAGTTCCTTCTGATCACGTGGACACCGCCGCAGGAACCTAATGGAATTATCATCGGATACCAAGTGGGGTGGGCCGAGTATGACGGCCTCTCATCTGAAATTGTTGTTCTTGCTATGGAACCAGTAGAAGCTACCGTGCGTAAAATATTGTTGAAAGATAAAAAATTTGAGACAAGCTATGTGGTGGAAGTGCAAGCAAGAACTAGCAAGGGATGGGGCCCTGGTTTAAGGAGGACTACGACAACTATAAAGAAATCAGGTGGGAAAACTTAGCAATGATAAACAAACGAAAATGAAATGAAACGAAGTATGAAGCTTTGTGGCATCTCACCATAACTTTCCGACTCTGACGTTCAAAACCAAGCTGGCGTGTTTTATCTGTGTGGCCGGAAATACTTTATTAGATTAATTCAATAATTAAATGAAGAACAAGTTAATTATCGAGATCGATGTGATGATATTCTGTCAATATATTTGTTTGTTTAGCTGTTGATTGGTTGGTATGTTAGGTTGGTACGTTTGTTTGGTTAGTTTGTTTGGTTTGTGTGTTTGGTTTGTTTGTTTGGTTTGTTTGTTTGGTTTGTTTGTTTGGTTTGTTTGTTTTCGATGGACCAAGAAAAGACTTAACTCAGAAAAGTTATCGAAATTGACTTATCACAGCCAACTAAGTATTGCAGCCAACATAGCAAAGGCAAAACCGATCTATCATTTTTCATTCGATTGACAAACAACGCCACAGCTTGACTTAACATGGCTTTTGCTCAAGTTTTCGAAAGTCACTGACTGTCGCCAAAAGAAACCTTTTGTAAAACCACTCTCATCTGGACGATTAAAGTACATGATAGACTTAAACTTTGTCTCTCTATGTTTTCAGCCCCTGCCAAACCGCTGAAGCCCACCGTTAAACAGATACTAGGGAAGAACTCGTTTAATGTAACCTACAACTTTGCTGTCGGAGGAGGATGGACAAACGAGTTCAAAGTTTTGTACAGAAAACAAGGTAAACGAAATGCACCTCTCTAATATAGTTTTATACCTTTGTACCTTTTGCCTCTCAGCTAAAAATGATGGCGCAGTGATAACTCTGATCGAACTTGTCAACCCTCCACATGCTCCTTCGCACTACCTCTTTCAACAATCTTATGAGAATTTTGGGTTCTTTTTGATAGCGTTTTTTACTTCTTTTATTTTTCAATTTTTGAAATAACCTTCACTTTGAAACTCGTTTTAAGTGGTTGATGAGCACGGTCCATGTTATCCCTGATCGGGGGTTGGACAAAATCCAGTAAGACGCTTCTACTGTGCAGTGGTTGTTTGGAGTGTTGTAAAAAATCTTTCATAACCTCTCAGCCAGTGATAAAAGGAAAAAGAAATAGATGTTGAAGTTGGAAAAAATATTTTCCTAGAAAATTTCCCAGTTCCCCTTTCCTTCCCCACCTCCGCCCCCCTCACTCTACACACACCTCCACCCTCAAAAATGTGATTTTCCCTACCTAAGGAGTAGTTAAATCACAACCTTTCCCCGGCACAAGCCTTCGTTCCCAGTGTCCCCTCCGGAGGACCTTGGTAACGGGTTTGTTCTTTGTATGCAAGTTCAAGTATACTTACACCACGTCATTGGGCCATGTGACAAGGTATTTTGACCTTTTCAATTCAGTACCTCGTGGGACTGCTTTCAAGCCTTAACAAATCGTCAATTTGTTTTTCTACAGGATCTCAAATCTGGAATCGCAATTTTGAAATGTAGACCTTAAATGTGCTTGAAAACTAATTCCGTCTCGAATTAATCTGAAGGTACTGTAACTGTCTGCTTTCCTTTTTAGCAGCAGAAGGGGAGGAATATCTGGAGACTTCCTGGGTAGATCATTTCCCAAGGAGGTGGACTGAGATCGATGATCTGTCACCAGACACGTATGAATTCAAGACTGTGGCTAGAAACAACGTCGGAATGAGCGAAGAGAGTGACGCCACGATTGCAAGCCTCATTGACGAAGGAAAAGTAGACATTGGTGAGAATTTATGATTTCCTTTTAGGGCGTTTCTCTCTCTCTGCTAAGAAAACCGTTACCGAACTTGCGTGACACGCAATTAGCTTGCGCGCTTTAAAATTTCTTAAGCAAGTTACGCGTACGATTATCGCATGAGCGTGTTTTAGTTTTTCAGTTTTTGAGCCGCAGTTTTCGAGGTTGTCGGTGTTTTTCTGAGTTTATCGTGTTACCGTTTCACTGTTTTTCGTTCGAATAAACTGGGCCTGCTTTTTAAAGAGATTTCCGGGTCCGGTTCCGAACGCTCCCTCTCTCTATTTCTTAAGATCTTAGCGGTGATTCTCCTTACTGTCTATCATAAATTTATCCCCATGTTATTTATGAGAATCTCATCACCCGTCTTCTTGTCAGTGTGTGGGTACCGTGAGGAGAAACCACATCTTGATCACTCTTGCGAGTGAAGGATTATGGCTGTGCTCATTTCTCTTCTTTGACTTTCTATTGGATACTCGTGAAGTTGGTTTGTTTTTAAAGAAGTGAAAAAAAAAAAATGGTAAATTGCTTCAACCTCTCTCCACACCTTACTCGTCTCTGATGACGACAACCGCTAAAGTTTTCCAAGTGTCAGTGACCACCACTGACAGCAGTCCTTCTCGGGAATACAGTCACCCGGACGATCAGACCTCCTAATCAAATGTTACATTTGAGTTCAACTCTTAACCTGTTTAACTTCTCTCTCAATTGCAGTTAAGAAGGAAGATTCATCCACGTATAGCTCCGATTGGTTCATCACGGTCATTATTATCGCAGCTGTGGTCGTTCTTCTCCTTATAATCGTCTTTGTGGTCAAACAATGCCGGAAGAGGCGTAGCGAAGATTTGGATGGTAAGGTTTTACTTTAGAAGCCCCTGAACTTGTCTTACAACATTCACAAGGGCTGGAAATGGGAATTAATGTCCTAATTATTGTCATCTTCCCTCAAAGTTTTTTTTTTGTAGTGCGAAGTATTTAAAACATTTTGGAAGTCTAGAAATCTAGACATTTGACCAAATCAGTAGACTTACAATGATGCTTTTCGTTTTTAACTCAGTTAAGAATTTCAGCCCAGAACTTTTCTCATTTTCCGTTACAATTACTCGCACTGGCAAGTTGTTTTACAGTCAAACTAAGTGAAGCGTACACCTCAAAATTACATTAATGAATTGATCATTTGGATATTAAACCCGCCAGTCGTTTCAAGAATGCAATAATGAATTGATTATTTGATTGTTGAACCCGCTAGCCGTTTCACGAATGCAATAATGGATTGATGATTTGAATATTGAACCCGTAGCCATATCCGTTTTGAAAAGGCGCGGATCGTTGTTCAAGTTAGAAGTCCATTTCTGAAGTCCATTAAGATTGTTCTATTTGACGAGGAATCCTGCGAAAACAGTCGATCGCAAATATTTACGCAATAAAAAAAGTCTTGCGATGGCTTCGCCCGTAAACTATTTTTTCGACCATGAATGCACCCAAGAATTGCTACAAGCTCGTCAAGATGTAAATAGGCGAAAAAAGCTCTCGATAACATTTCATTTACAACATTTACAAGAATTTCTACAAAACACTCGAACTCACCTTTCCCGCCATGTCTGACGCCTTGTTGAAGAGTTTCCGATCCATCATCACGTGTTCGCATAATCCAATCAGAAATGGACTTCTGATTTGAACAATGATCCGCGCCTTTTCAAAACGAGTACGGCTATCGGGTTCAATATTCAAATAATCAACCATTATTGCATTCTTGAAACGGTTAGCGGGTTCCATGTTCAAATAATCATTTCGTTATTGCGCTCCTGAAACGATTAGCGTGTTCAATATTCAAATAATCAAATCATTAATGTAATCTTGAGGGGTACGCTTCACTTAGTTTGACTGTAAAGCGCTTAACTCCTCAACTAGATTAACTTCGCAGTAGCATTGCGCTTTGCAAGTAACCAATTCCATTGCCTTCCATCATCTGGGATTTCTTGACAATCTGGTAACGACTGAGAAAAAGTAATGTGAGATATAATTTCATTGAAGTGGCGATGTGTCTAGCACCCACTTGTGCTACTTGAGGACACCGTGAGGACAAAAAGAACAGATTAATTTTATCGCAAATTCTCAAGAAAGCCCAGTCGATGGAAGGCAATCGAATTGGTCACTTACAAAGCCCAAGGCCAATGCGAAGTAAATCCAGTTGAGTGGTGCAGTGAAGGAGTTTAGCGCTTTGAAACAATCATTCACGCTGTCTTGACGTCACAAATAGATTTCTTGTTGCCGTGGGTCTGTTCAGAGACGGAACACAGATAGCGTCAAGTATGGTAAGAACACTGAAAAAAATGACAGACGAGGCGCAACCGAGTGTGTCACCGTGTCCTTAACACATTTTACGTCATCTGTAATTAATCTATTACTGTACAGACCCAAGGCTACATAAAATCTGTTTGTGAAAATAGTAAAATGTCGGTAATTATGACGTCATCCGTGTCTGTCCTCCATGGTAATTAAGAACCAATCAAAATGCTTGTATCATTAAGCCTGTCATACAAATCCAGATATAAAATAACAAAAGCTAAGCTAGAGATGATCCTTTCTTATGTATGTTTTTGTTATTGACAGCGTCAGATAAAGAAAATGAAGCCAATAAAGAAAATCCGAAGCCCATCGACTTCAAACCGCGCGAAGACTGGAGAACAAGACTTGAACGCGTGGACGAGGCTGACAGTGAAAGCCATGACAGCTTAGATGAATATGGCGGAGGTGGGGCCTATTTTTCAGAAGATGGCTCCTTTGTTGGCGAATTTGAGGCAAAGAAAAGCGATTCTGCACATGAAGAAGTTCAAGATCCAGCTGTGTAACACTGAAAAGGTTTATATTTCCCTCTATGGAGTTTAGAGTGTTTACATGCAAAGTAACTTAAATATTCCATTTGCAACCGTTTTGCATCGTTGCAAGTACAGAAATTTGAAGTGCAGTGTTGGAAGTGATAAGATATTTCATTAGTTTTGCTTCACAACGCTGGCTGAGGGGTGAAGGAAAATGATGCTAGCCTCTCAACCCATCAGAATCGAAAAAACAACGCAACAACTACAAACTGCTTTTCAAAATTTGATTTTTTTTCACAATTAAGTTTACTAACGAAATTTGGAAAGGTGTTTAGTCGCTTGAACGTGTTCTTGTGCTGAGAAAATCAAACCTGTTAGCCCTCGGAGAGTCGACAACTTTGTGAAGTTTTCTAATCTTACTTCTTTGGGCTTCAACTTCTCCAACGAAAACTGCAGGCTCGGTTGTTTGTTTGAGGGGAGGTTACCAATGTTACAAAGTTATCACTTACTGCCTGTTATAGTTGAGTAGAATGACACTATTGTCGGGAAAGTGGTGTCGCCAAAATCGGTCGGTTTGATTTCTTCTTTCTTTCTTCCTATTTTCACCGAACGAAAGAAGTAGATTTGGCAGGCTCAAGTCGGCTTCAACTTTCGTGTACGCGGGAACAAAATGGGCACCCGCGAATAAGAATTTTTTTTGTCATCTCAGCCAATCAGGTACAAGACTTAACCAAATGTTGTTGCACGCGCAAATTTTCCCGCGCTTTTTCTTTATGACCTCTTGCTTTCCGATTGGTTCGACTTACTTTTCTGCGTCGTGTAATTAGCTAAAAATATTAACTAGTGAAGCATTTAGCCTCACGGTTTACAACTTGTAGGAAATACAAACGCACAGTGAAGGGACAGAACTGCCCCGCATTTCGATGTAGGAGTTAGCTATTTAATTTCCTCGTGTTTTAGGACATTAAGTATAAGAAATTGTTGCAGTAAATAGTTTGATTACGATTTTTGAACAATTTTAGTTTAGTCCTATTTTGCCAAGTTAAGTACATTTCTTGTAAAGGTTTTATGTGGAAAAGAATGATTTAATATCGCCATACGGTAACGAATAGTGATAGATATAGGCTGTAGTTTCCGTTGTTACGGTTTTGTGCTTCCAGCATAAAAATTTGCTGTCCGTCATACACCGCTTTTTTTATTTTCGCTTAGTGAAGATTTTCCGAGATCTGAGTGGTTAGGGTTTAGAATGTCCGCTTTTGATTATTGTTAATTACTGGCATTTAGATATAGATTTTTAAATCTATTTGAGGTAGATGGAATTGTTTTTTTAGCCTTATATGGTGACTCGCTAAGTTAGTCGCAAGTGTACCTGCTATTAGTGCTTTATGTAATTTAATAAATGAACAGATTTATTTGGTTGATTTTTCATAAATAAAATATACCTCGACACTTAGTCAATAAAGATCTATTAGATATCCCGTCTAAGTTTGATTTTCCCAACGTGACAAAGTAGTTCCTATAATTACAATATTTTACCAATACGTTGCCTTGCAGACGGGTGACGATAAGAGACTACCTCATCAGCAGCGGAAAGCTGAAATTCTCCTTGTTAGTTTAAAGAAAATGTGTTAGAATACGAAGGGAGTGTTGCAAATCAGATCTGTTTCAAAAATGCTACAGACAAGTCCTCCACCGAGGATAGCGGCAGTTCGTAACACTGAAACACCAAAAGCTTCTCAGTAATACAAAGGCAAACAAGTTGCAGGCTCAAAAAACTTTATTTCTACAAAATAACAACTATACTCCTTTATAAGATCATTTACATCCCTTATTAAATAATCAAAGTGGAGGCGCCTTAAAGTAGTCGCATCTTTCCGATGACGGAAGGGTGGGACCTCATTTATCCTTCGCCGGGACACCGTAAACTTTAGGAAAGAGGTACAGGGGTTGACTTCATCGGGAACTTTCCCATAATGCTGTTAATTTCCGGTGAACTCTGCTTGAAGACATCGTAAAACAACTTAAAAATTAACAGAAGAACCATAACTTAAGGTTGAGGATCTGGAATTAGTGACAACGTTATTTATTTTAAGGCGGAAGATAAATTACTTTATTACACTGGTCAAACGTAGGCTGTTGATGGCGGTAAAATGTTATCTATTTACTCTGCTGGAAACGCAAATAAATCCATATCTTGATACGGTTGTCGTAAAAGGACCAACCAAAACGACAAGTCGAGTATAACCGTGACACAACGAAAGGAAATTAAAATTGTTCAATTTGAAAATACCGAAACTTAGGTTCTTTTCTTATCTTACAACGTAGGAAAAAAGACTACTTTTATCGCGAATAATAAACGAAAAAATAAAAAAAATTAATACAGTCACCCTAAGAAAAGAAAATGGAAACGAAACCTCTTAAATGCATCACTGAAACAAGTGAAACTTCAACTTCACCTTAGGTCGTGAGAAAAACTTACAGCCCAAGATCAACCCAACTTCTTTACAATTTTATAATGCAAAGAACATTATATAAAGCAACTAACTACAAATTCCAGCTAAAATTTACACTTCCACCACTTTCTATATTTAGAATAAATATGATGACCTTTCTCTGTTGCTCGTTTTAAAACGTGTGAAAACAAATTAAACAAAACCTTAACATAGCTCGACTACTCTTAGAAGAAACAATTCTCCTCTGTGTTTTTATTGCCAAACAGTTTTTAACTGAGAGAGCTTGCTGGAGTTAACTTGAAGTTTTTACAACTGCACTGATTTTTCAACAATTTGTTTCAGAGACTCAAATCAATGTACAACATAAAAAAAAAAATTAATAAGTTTAAAGTCAGTCGCTGCCAAAAATTTTTAAAGTGGCTTTGACTGGTTTCGTGCCAGAGACGTTTAACCCTTTGCGCCCTGACATCAGTATCTACATTTTCCATACATTTCCAGGGACACTGACAAGGAGATTATGTGTAAAAATCAAAGAATCTCAGATTGGCGATTATTTCCTTGATACTCAGGACGTTAATGAACGATTCAGCGATATTATTGTAGGAGAAATAAGATGATAGTCACTTTTGGGTTTAAAGGGTAACGTCTAACATCGCCCAAGACAAAATGAAGTATCTTGTGCGAAACAAAGGCCACGAATCGCCGACGAATGGGATAGCGCGTTTAAGTTAACTGAGGAAGAGGTGAACCTCAAGTACCAGATCAATTATTTACGATTAAGAACGAGCTGCAATTGGACCTTTTAACTAAGCGGTTTGTTAGTGTACTGCGCTAGCACTGGCTATCGCGTGATCAAAATTGACAAACTGTACACAGCTTATATTTTTTTTTTTGATCACCAAAACAACACTGGTACTCGGTGGCGATGTCCTCAAACGAAGGTCGCAAATGCGGACTGATCTTTCTCGTCCGGGGGTTGTTTCTTTTCATCGCCATATTCCTCTATAAATGACCCATCTTCGTTGAACTGTGGTCCCTCGCCGTAGTCGTCCAGGCTGTCACGGTCACTATCCCGTTTATCCAATGAGCCCCGACTTTGATAAGGTGGGGGGTTTTCCTCCCTAAAAAGACACAAGACGTCATTTATTAACCGGCAGGGAAGTACGAATTCAACTATCTGGTGCCCTGAGTAAGTCTAATCTAACCGAAACCCTGCTGGCCTAGAGGTTGCCGCTTTAACCCGAGTTCAGAACCTTGTAAGGTGTTCTGGGACAAGAAAATCTACTCTCCAGGTCCTTCTCTTTCCCCTAAAACTACATAAATGGTTGAGGGGGCAGGGGTGGGGAAAAACCCGGTAACACTACAATTTATTAGGAAATATAAGCATTGAACAGATAAGCGCATGTGCTGTACATGTGTCCGCTGTACAAACCAGGATTAGGACCTAGACTCTTAAATTGGCGAAAATCAAGCTTTGTACAAAACAGCCTACGATTCCAATCGCAGAAACACGGTGAAATTTCGCGCAATATTTTCTCTGTCAAAGTTAGTCATAAGTAATTGGGGTTCAACTCTCAAATGCACAAGCACATGGAATAACTTACCTTTGGTGGTTGAAAGGTGGGCCTTCTTCTTCATCGAATGATTCCCGCTCTATGAGTTGAGCAGCTCTTTTCTTCTCGCGTTTACCAACTAAAGAGAGATCAGTAAAAGAAAACTTAAGGCTCTGCGTGATTATCAGGTAAAACACAACTGAATTCGTTTCCGAAGTTGGATATTTTTTACATCAACGAAGAAAACGGATCAACGTATTTTCGTCTTCGATAAAACAGGATTTCAAACTCCCCTCATTTTAATTTCCATTATTGTCTTACCTGGGTATTTTGATCCACGATGTCGGGTGTAAATCACAAATATGAGCAGAACAAGGAGCAGGACAGCAATAAGAACCAACAACGCAATAAACCAAGCACTCTGGTATATCGGAGTAGTTGTTCTTTGGCCAGCTGTAGTGATAAAGAGAGAACAAGTTAGTACCAAATCATTCACAACTTCCAGCTGTTTCCTTCTTCTAAGGCGGGGGGGTGGCGGGGTGTGGCGAGAGAGGGGAGGAGAGGGTGATAGAGGGCATGGGCGAAGAAGGAACAGTCAGGTTGTAACAGTTCGAGTAGAGAAATCCCTGTTATCCGTCCCAAACCTCTCAGAATGTTCCTATCATTACAGTAGTAAAGTCAAGACTCGAGCTTAGAGGCGCAAACAGCCGGAACTTATCCCACCCTCTGTAGCACAAAGCAACTACGAGCAATTCCACTCCCCTGCATGAGATGTTAGTCAATCGCAAGTAAACCCTCCCCCCTCACCCGCCGCCATTTCTTCAGATTTCTCTGATAGTCCGCTGGTATCCAAGTCTCGAACCCGACCTCTAGTACAAACACACAAAGTACGTGTCGAACTTACTCACAATTCCCGGGATGGGTCTGGCTTCAGTGACTTCACTCGGCGGACTTTCTCCCTGATCGTTTCTTCCGATGGTCCTAAATTCGTACAAGGCAGACTCCAGACCATCAATCTCCTTATCCAGTACATCACCCAAGTAGTTGACCCACGATGAGTTATGNACTGAGATGTTCTACAAATTCCAGGCTCTGTGGATAAACTAGGACGACTTGGGCCAAAACTGTTTACAGCTCTCATACGGAAACGCAGAGTCGACCAGCCCGTAAGGTTAAGCGTGAGGGATGTTGCATTTGGGTTTGTCTCATTGTAGATGAGATAAAACACATCCGGTTCATGGTTCGATTCCTGTTCAATCAAGAAGTGCAAAATGGGAGCATCATCGGAGGGTACGGTAGTCCATTCAAGTACTGTTGTCCGATTGATGCACGTTTTCTCATTTATCTTGAGGTTCGTTGGAGGGAACGGAACTCCTAGAGGGAACAAAAAAGGAGGTGCTGGTAATCACTGCAGATAAAATAGCGATCAAAAGTTGACCTAATTAACCACTTGAGGACTGCGATTTATTCCTCTCTTACTTCTATTTCTACTTCCAGATCTGTCAATAAATACCTCTGACAAACCGTGTTCGAGTATCCACAATCGGAACGAAACAATCTTCAAAAAGCTCAAATGCCCGTGGGGGGTGGGAGGGGGGAACATTGAAACTCTGAATTACTCGATGCATTAATGAGAACAAACCTTTAATATTAACTTCAGCTGACGCCTTGTCTTCCGACTTCCTAGGTTCAGGCGTGTACGCGACACAGGTGTAAATGCCAGCGTCGTCAACACTTATATCAGAGATTTTTAAAACGTTTTCTCCTTCTAACCACTCTATCTTTGAGTTGTACTCAACAACTGCCTCATCTCTTTTCCAGTAATACTTTAGTTCCAGTCTTGAATCGGCCTCTGCTCGGCAACGAAGGTCGATGTTGACGCGCTCTGGAACAACCTTGTCCTCTGGTTTAACTGTAATTCGTGTTTTTTCTGTGCCAAAGAAAACAACAGATAAACCCTTAACTTACATGAGTGACTACGACAGAATTTCTCCTTACAATATCAGTACAATATTAAGCAGACAAGTGATGAGAATAGAGAAAGCATCACTTAGGGGATTATTAGTTGATCCAATACCAAATTCTTAAAACTAATATCGTAAGATCTATAGAGTAATAAGGTTAATCCAACAGAACCAAACAATACTTTAATTTTTTCTCTGGACAGGTTGTTTCCGTCAAGGTTGCGTGAGAGATTCCTTTCCAAACTTCCCTATCAAAAATCTTTCTTGAAAAAGAAGATAATTGAGGCAAGTTTCCAAGGTCTTGCCACGCTTTTTACTTCAATGACTAATCCCTAACTTGCACTTTACTGATCGACCACTTCCTGATTTGTGGAAGTAAGGCAGCGCGGTTGGAGAGTACATGTAAGTGTTCCCCGGTTCAAGTTCGAACATACACTTCTGCAACTCATGCTTGTAATTCACGCGTGTAATTTGAACGTGTAATTCAGCTACCGCAGCGCACCACTCCACTACAGAGCATATGAAAGTGTGCACAATTCCCTCGAANAACCATGCCCCACGTTAAGACATTAAACTTTGATTACTATTGATTACTATTACTTACCCAAAATGGGTCTGGCTTCAGTGATTTCACTCGGCGGACTTTCTCCCTGATCGTTTCTTCCGATGGTCTTAAATTCGTACAAGGCAGACTCCAGACCACCAATCTCCAGATCAAATTCATCATTCAAGTAGTTGACCCAAGATGAGTTTACAAACTCTTCATTTTCCACTAACAACCACAACAACAATATGAAGAAATTAGTTTATTATTCATGTAAAATGGAAGTACCTTTCTATGTGTTGCGATGGTAGAGGTGTAAAAAGACAATTTAGTTTATAATGTAAATTGGCCACCGTGTATAGTCTTTGAAGCTGACGTTTCGAGCGTTGGCCCCTCGATAGTTAAGCAAATTCCTCCAGTCAGAGTCCTAAAAAATGTATAAGGTAAACTGTGAAGAAGATACATACTAATGCAAGGATGCAACTTACATTTCCGTCGGAACTGAACAAGGAATTCATGAGTGTATCCTCCACCAATACCAAAGTTGTAAATAACCCTGACTTTGTCAATTGCTGTTTGTTTAACTTTGGGAGCTTTGGGCTTGGCAGGTGCTGTGGATGAAAAATATAAATAAGATAAGTGTGTTCATCACCGTGCAAGTGCACTCATTACTCCGCTCAGGGACGCGTAAGCGGACAGTTTTACTTACGGACAATTTAAATGCCTCTCAATTAAAAAATGTATTTACACAGGTGGTCACTCTCTTGTGAACAGACGCAGACATTTGTGAAATTTAAAATTAGATTTTTCGTTTATTTAAGCTCTCTTCTCGTGAGCGTACACCCCATGGATAATAATGAAAACTAGGCAATAAAATTTGTGTTGAATTTTCAACTCGACCTTATGACAGAGCAACACAACAGAGAGGATCGGTTTTGTCAAACCTCCATTTGTCCGCGAGAAAGCAAGCTCTCCATTCCTTTGACATTAAAAAGAGTCAGACATAATACTCTTCCGTAAGCGGACATCCACCTCTTTTTCTTTGGTGTCCGCTTACGGAAATAATTCTTGTAGACGGTCAGTTCTAGTAACGGACACTTTTTCCAATTCCCGAGGGTGTCCGCTTACGAGAGTGTTGACTGTAATCCAAATAATTTTTCAAATTTGTCGTGACTTACCAGAAACTTTGACTGTTTTAGTGAGTATTCTCACACTTGCACCGTTGCCCGGTTCGGTCTTGGCTTGTATTTCTACAACATAGTTTGTCAGCTCTTCTTGCTTTACTTCCTTGCCAATAAGGTACCTCCTCTTCGAAGCTTCTAGCTCGGTCATCTTCACTGGCGTGTCTTTAGGATCTGAACCCTCGTATTTAGCAGATCCCGTTCGGTAATTTGTAATGATTCCATTGGGTTTTACAGGTGGTTTCCACGTGACCAGGATGTACAACGCAAATGGGTACACTTTCACGTCTGACGGGGGTCCAGGAACTAAAAATTAAACACACGCCAAGTTGCAACATAAGTGAAAAAACAGTGAATCTTTAGTATTAGAAGTGGGTGCAGTAAAAACAAGGCACAAGGGGTGCAACTATTCCGTGAGCGGACCGACATCATAACCCTTGTAATGAAGGCCTGGATTGAATACCTGCTCAAATGCGATTGGACGCGGGGGACAAAACAAGCAATTTCAATGCCTCTATAGACCTCCCAAGAACCCCCATTTGTAAAACCGCTGCATTGCATTTGCCTAAATTGACTTCAGTCTAATCTGACATCACTTTTTTATTCGATGATCTTAAGGACGCTAAAATTAAATACATTTCCTTGTTCTGTTTCCTCATTCCAAATTCCCGCTCAAATATATGTTCACTGCGCAGGCGCGCATATGCGGTATAAACTAATAGCCCATTTCCGAATTACCCTTGGCCTCATTTTCAAAACGAGTCCTGCA